TCGACTTAAAATAATTGTTTATTACTAACCTTAATGCTACAGCAAACCTTTCTTCCTTTGATACTGCTCTTCGAAATGAAGTGTTCTGGAATGTTAATTCATGCTCTAGAATATCACCAAGTTCCGAAAATTTAGTTGGTTACATTCTAAAATATTGGAAAAATTTATTCTCATCTTCTTTCAGGTCATTAAATAGATGATGGAACTCTCAAAGATTTAATCTTTTTCTATTAATGGGGTGTATCCAAGTGCTTCTCTTTCTCTTGCTCTCATCTTCTGCTAGTATTGCGGCCACTATCATAACTTCTTCATCGTCGGAACTACTGTTGACAAACATGGTGAATCTGTCGCTGGTAGATGTAAACTAAAAACGTTTCCATTCACATCACGCAGCATAGTTACCGGTTACCGCCGGAGAAGTAAGCGACCCTGCCATCCGTCGCTGCCAGGCGATGGACGGCATCGAGCCGTGCTGTGACGGGCAAGTGAGCGACAAGCTTAAAAGAACCACGGGAAATGACTGTCATTGTAAATATAAGTGTTTTGAAAAAGTTTCGGAGGATCAGCGTGCCACAATACTTCAAAACTTTAATGAGTTGGAAGACAAGTACAAACACGATATTTATCTTACTTTGTTAATTATACGAGAACCGATAAATCTGAAAAAAAGTGAGGGCAGGCAAACGCAAAAAAAGTGCTAGTGAATTCACGGTAAGAATTTTTATTTTTTTTCAACTATATCTATTGTGTGTTCAACAATGAAACAGTATATAGAACCTAAATGAGGAATAGGATTATTTCTAGATCTGAGTGTTTTATTTCAGGTTCGATTGGGTTCTTTCCGACACAGAGTGTGCAAGAAGGGGTTTTGCGCCATACATGGTATTTCAACTAAGAGAGTCGAGCGCCTTTCTTCACACATTACCGTTAATACTGCAACCACAGCACCCCCTGATATGCGTGGTAAACACCACAACAGGCCAAACAGCATCTCCCCGGAAATCACACAGCAAGTACATAATCACATTAAAAGTTTTCCGCGTTGTACGTCCCATTACAGTAGATCTAAGAATATAAAAGGTTTGTCCCAACAGGCGACAAAACAGTTCTAGAACTGTACTGCGCATGCGCATTAAATAAAAACAGTCCCAACTGGTACGGAACAGTTTCGAAATAGTTCGGAAATATGTCCCAACTTACAACGGAACGATGTCGAAACCGTTCGTGAACGGTATTTTCAGTACCTACTCGGTAGGAAGTACTAATAGCTCAGTCCCAGTACTGTCATGCGCTGTCAACTTGTCTACATTTATTTGACGTGACAATAAACGCTGATACAGATTAATTTGGCGAAGTTTCGATTTGTTGTGTTCGAAAATGAGCGATATCGGGGATTTTAGTGATTTTAGTAGCGGAAAAGAATCAAGTGATAGCGAATTGGAAACAATTCCGGAACCAAAAATAAAACATATGAATTTTCTAGGTAAAGATTTTATTCAGAAATTTTCAATTAGTTAATCATTTGATCTCTCTTACAATTACCTTAGATGAAACCGTTGATAGGTACGATGACCAATCTTTTTTTACCCATTTTCGATTATCAAGAGGTTTGATAAATGAGTTGTCGGAAAAATATAAATTGAGCAATTTTTATAATCAAAGAGTTGGCCAATATGGGAATATATCTCCTCGTCATCAAGTAAAGACATATGTAAAGTGTACATAGAATAATTAAATAATAATAATTAAATAATTAAAAATGTGAATATTGTTGAAAAAGGAATCAATGTTAAAAGAGTCACTTCTAATAAAAATGGAGCTGTTTTTATCGAATGTAAAAACAAAACTGACGTAGACAAATTAAAATTAGCAGTGACAGAAAAAGTTGGAAAAGCAGAAATTAAAGAGATTAGAAAATTTATACCACGTATGGTAATTTTTGGAATAAGTAATGATATGAAGGAGGATGATATTTTAGATTGTTTATTTAAACAGAATGAAATCATTACAGCAAATTATAAGGATATAAAAGATTTAGAAAAGGAAATTAAAATTAAAAGAATTTTTAAAAGTAAAGAAAATAAATTTAGTAGACATGTAGTAGTAGAAGTTACAGGTAAATTGAGGATTATTATTAAAGATGGTTTAAATATTGGTTGGAATAGATGCAAAGTAGAAGATGATAGATCAATTTTACATTGTTTTAAATGTCTTCGAATTGGCCATAAATCAGATAATTGCAAAGATGTTCAATTTTGCAATAATTGTGGAGGACAACATGATGTTAGGAAATGCATTTCAAAAGAGAAAAAATGTATTGCATGTATTAGAAATAGGATTTCAGGAGATATAAAACATAGTTGTTTTTCTAAGGAATGTTTGTCGTTAAAGAAATTTTTTATAGAATTTAATAAGAAGATAGATTATGAATAATGAAATAATTAATATAAATTGTGTTCAGATTAATTTAGGAAGAGGCAAAAATTCTACATTTAATTTAATGGATTATTTTTCTAGGAATAATATTCATATAGTTTTTCTACAAGAACCTTGGGTCGTTAAGGAGGAACTATATGGTATTAGTAGGAAATATAAAATTTTTAATGGTTTTCCGGTGGATAATAAACCAATACGTAGTGCTATTTTAATCACAGATAATAGATTAATGGCAATTATTCATTCAGATTTAACCGACGGTTATTTTATAGTTTTAGAAATTAAAACAAATAATTTATGTTTTTTAGCAGTATCGGTTTATGTTCCACCGGAAAAAAGACATTTAGGTGAATTTAAATCTATATTAAGTGAATTTGAAAAAATAATTGTTGATTTAAATTTAAAATATAATAAACCAAAAATAATTTTTTATGTAGATAGTAATAGTAAAAGTGCTAGTAGTGTGGGGTAGTGATTTTGAGGACAGAAGAGGAAGAGACTTAGAAGATTTATTAAATAAATATAATTTGTGTGTTTTAAACAATAATGTAGAACCTACTTGTTTTAATCAAAGAGGTGCTTCTAGTTTTATTGATTTTACGGTGATTAGTGATAATTTTATTGGTGAAGTAATTAATTGGAATTTGGAAGATGAGGAGACCCTTTCAGATCATAAACATTTTTTTTCATATTATTTGTTCAAATAATGATAGAATAGAGAATATTACTAGGAGATATTGTGTATAGCAAATTAGGTAAAATTTGAAGAAGAATTGACATTGGAATTAGATGGTTTTAAAGAAAGATTAAAAAATATTGTTTTTGACAAAAAAGAATTAAATGCTTTAGTTACTAATTTTAATGATAGTTTAATTAGATGTTGTGATAAGTGTTTTAGTAAAAAGAAGTGTTCTAAAAAGTGGGTACCATGGTGGACCTTGGAATTAAGTAAATTAAGAAAGGAGACAAATAATTTAAGAAGAAGGTTTCAAAGATGTAGTTTAATTGAAGAAAGGGAAACAAAAAAATTGGAATATAATAAAAAATTAATATTTATAAAAGAAAATTAGAAGAAACAAGAATAGAAAAAATGGAGAGAATTTTGTTCCAAATGGGGGAACAAAGATCCTTGGGGTTTAGCTTATCAAGTTGTTAGAGGTAAAAGATCTACAACTAAAATATTTCAGCAGTTAGGAAAAACAATGGTGCTTTTACATCTAATTTGGAGGAAACGTCTATGGAATTTTTGGTCAACTTTTTTCCTAGGGATAATGAGATTGATGAAAATGATTATCATAGGATCATTAGGAATAGATATCAACTATACTCTGATGAATATGATGATTTGGATTTTCATCCTAAGGAGATAAGAAGATTACTTCAATTACTTCTATGGATAAGAAAAAAGCACCGGGTTTGGATGGTATATCTGCTGATATTTTAGAAAAAGTTTATAATCATGATCCTGATTTAATAAATTTATTATTTAACAAATGTCTGCATTTGGGTGTTTTTCCTAAATGCTGGAAAAAGCAATTGGTAAAAATTATTCCAAAATCTGGTAAAAAAGATATTGGTGATGTTAAAACATACAGCCCTATAAGTCTTCTTTCAGTCATAGGTAAGGCACTAGACAGTTTGATTATCAATCGTATAGAACATCACCTTATAATTAATAATAATTTATGTGATAGACAATTTGGCTTCGTTAAAGGTAAAAGCACAATTGATGCTTGAAGTTATGTAGTTAATTTTATTGAAAATTCAAAAATGAAAATTATTATTGTTTAGCGATATTGTTGGATATTTCTGGGGCTTTTGATCACGCATGGTGGCCTCTAATTTTAGATCAGATAGGTAGGAAAAATTGTCCAAAAAATTTATTTAATATTGTCTTATTTTTCGGGTAGGGAAGCTATTATAGATGAACCAGGCATTTATTTAAATTATAATATTGATAAAGGTTGAGTACTGTTGTTAAGAAAACTTTAAGATTTGTATAAGGACGGTACGCGCACAAAATAGTTTTCTCTTTTTCGTCATATTCTCGTTCGAAACGTTTCGTTGTTGCACGTATAAGTAAAATTTTGGTTTCGTTAAATTTTCAAATAAAATCGTTTTGTCATAACAAATTACATAATTTCTAGTAAATTATTTATAAAATTACAAAAGAAATAAAAAAATTTTCCACAAAAAGAGGTATTTGTGAACCAGCGATACATCAAACTTTAATAAAGAAATTTATTAAAAAACTAAACAATTGATTAATGAATTATACTAATTATGCAGGCTTTGCTTTGCAATTTATAATTTGTGTCTAGTTTTGTAATTTTGTTGTTTTTAATACAATAAGCAAGTTTATTTATTAAAACCTAAATTGTTGTAAATTTTCACATTAACGAGTAATAAAACAGCACTGATAAATTTATTCATATAAAGTAAATAATCTCAAAAAAAATATCTCAAAAACGAACTTTTATGTGTCATAAGCAAAGCCTGCTTAGTATAATTCTTTATACAGCAGTACTTAAACTTTGAAACCCTTAACTTTATCGTATCATATCTTAAGAATGGGACATTGTGTTAAAAGATCTGTTATTCACAAAAAGGGGACCTATAACCCCTCAAATGTTTTCTACTCATACCTGATACACCCTGCATATTGTAATATTTGAATTTGATTATTAATTATTATTAATACAAATAGTATTCTGTGTGTACAAAAGCATTATATAGTCATAATGTTATATTGTTATATGTATGTTTCAGCTTTTTACTTTATGAACCGAATCTAGTCAGCGAAAAGATATTCCGATGACCAACAGGAGCACTTCGTTAGTATGTGATGTTCATTTTGACACAGAAATGAAGTTCATCATTCGAAATACAATAGTCAGTGGGATACGCGGACGGACGGACTGCATTGAAAGTCTGTACTAGTCAGTGGGATACGCGGTCGGACGGACTGCATTAAAAGTCTGTACTATTCAGTGGGATACGCGGTCGGACGGACTGCATTAAAAGTCTGTACTATTCAGTGGGAAATGAAAAATTTAATTTCTAAAATAGTTTACAGTTCCACGCATTGCTGCTCAGGTACGAACGTGCGGTGCATCGGTCGGACCGGGTTTTCGATGTGCATTGCGTTGCAGAGAGTTGCTTCGACTTGCGGACAAACGTAAGCCGCAGTAAAGCATTAACTATAGGCAACGGCCATACCACATTGAACGTACCGGTTCTCGTCCAGTTCCACTCGAGCTCTTGCAGCGAGCGGACGTCTCCCCCTCTCTTTCGTGAGCGCTCCTGAGTGAAAAGTAATTTTTGTGTTCCGGGAATTTAAGGCTATTAGCCAGTTCCGAGTATAAACTAAGTGCCTTCGCTAAGTACTTTTGCGAAACGAACCGAGGTCATCCGGCCGTTAACAAAAGATCGAAACAAAGGCGCCGGCCCAGCTGGGCGCCCAGGTACGAGGGTTTTAACCGACGCTCGAAAAATTGTTGTTTTAACGACAAGTTTCTGATTTTTAAATCAAAAATGACGAAACATAAACAACAACCGCCGACGATCGAGCCCGAGTCGGACGCGGAATCCGCTGTCACCGTGACTTCCGAGCTTACTCGTAAGCTTATGGAAGTCGAAGATCAACTCCAGGCCACCCCCGAAGAGGAAGATGACCCAACATCAGGCTTTACCAAAGCGAAGAAGAGGAAACGAAAAATGAAATCCACGGAAGATATCGCGGTCGAACTGAAGAATCGATACGAACTTCTCCCAGAAGAAGTCGATTCTATCGCGAAAAAACTCCCTGCGGGTAAGAGCGCATCCTTGATTAATAACAAGCCCAAAGCCCCTATCAATCAAAAACGCACCAGCCCCCCCATTACCATTCATCTAGGTGGTTTTTGCAACCACCTACGTCTCACCGGCGATCTCACCCAATGGGTGGGAAAAGATAACTACTCATTAAGATATACGGCCAGCGGTTGCACCGTATATGTCAAAAACCCCGACAACCGCTCAAAAATCATCAAACAGCTCAAAAAATCGAGCATTCCATTTCACACCCATACCCCCAAAGAGGAACGCGAGAAAGCGTATACTCTAGACGGCCTTCCCCTACAAATTACCCCGGAGGAAGTCACCAATGAAATCTTTGATCGGTCGACCATACAGGCGACCAAATGTTTCTTAATGAAAGGCACCCGATATCCCCGCTTTCTGATCACATTCGCGGACATAAAGAACCTAGAAACCCTCCAAAGAAACATCTCAGCCCTCTTCAACACCCGAGTCCACTGGGGATACGTAAGAAATAATAAACTCCTAATTTAGTGTAAAAACTGTCAAGGTTGGGGTCACGCGACCTCTAACTGTTACGCCCGCCCCAAGTGCGTTAAATGCACAGGCGATCACAAAACCGGTGATTGCCAAATCACCCGCGAAAACGGCCTCCCAATTTCCTGCACCAATTGTAAAGGAAATCACACCGCCAACTCCACCGAGTGCCCTCGTTACCATCAGGAAATTGCACGTCGCAATATTAAATGGTCAACTACCCAGCCGACCAAGCTCACCACAACACCCCCGCGAGCACAATTCGGTCCAACTTCTTTCCCCCCGATTCGTCCCCTCAATCAACCGTGGAATGCCATTGTGAAAGAGCCCCAACACCCGCAAAACCCCCCAACGGCACCCACCCCCATTCAGCCCCCCATTCAACACAAAACACCCCAAGCGAACTCTCTCCCCAACACCTCCGACTTTAACGAGCTCGGAAACCTGATGGCCGAGATTAATTCCCTAATTAATCTCCCAAACCTTATCAACGCCCTAAAACAGTTTAGGGATACCCTCCTTATCGACAAAAGTTCCGCCTCGCTCCTGGACGCTACACAAAAACTCTATTCCAACCTCCTCAATGTCTAGCTTAACTCTAGTCCAGTTCAACGTTAACAGTCTTATCCCCAAAATCCCGGAGATAACCGACTTCCTAAAAAGACTAAATGTCGACGTCCTCCTAATAAACGAAACCAAACTCGTCCCAACCGATTCCGTCTCCTTTCCAGGATACACCATCCTCCGAAAAGACAGGACCCGTCGAGCCGGCGGTGTCGCTGTTTTAATCAAAAACACCATCCCGCACCAAGTAATCCCCCAACCCAATCACGGCCATCTAGACCTCATCACCATAAAACTTGACAGCAACCTCTTCGTCACCGCTCTCTATAGTCGCCCCAACGGCCCCCTCACAACCACCGATTTAAACCATCTAATCGGCTCCTACAACAAAACCCTTCTATTCGGCGACCTCAACGCCTGCCACCCTTACTGGGGTTGTAATAGAATTAACAAAAAAGGGCGAACTATATACAACTACACCCAGGCCCACAACGCGTTCGTCCTCGCCCCTAGAGCGCCCACACATTTCCCCCCAAACGGCTCAACGCCAACAACCATAGACATCGCCCTGATCAAAAACGTCATCGACATCTCCGACCCAGTCGCCTTAAACGATCTGTCATCCGACCACTCTCCGGTCATCATCAAAATCGGTTCAAACATCCCAAGCGAACCACCATCGAAGTCCCCCGATTTCAAAAAAGCCGACTGGACGACGTTTAAAAACCACATAAACGCCCGTATCCACGTCACCCCCGACATTCAAACAACCCAAGACCTCGACGCGGCCATCGATCTCCTCACCAGCACGATCGTGGCCGCCAAAAACAAATCGATCCCCCTCACGCCTAAACCGAACGGCCTCATCCCCAAAACTCCACCGCATATTCTCGTTATAATCCAAAACAGAAATGCAATACGTAGGCAGTATCAGAGAACCCGCGACCCAATCGCATTGACCGAACTCCGCAAATTAAACAAATCAATCCAGTCAGAACTCAAAAAACACAAGAACGAAACGTGGTCCAAAAAACTCCAATCCCTAAACCCAGATGACAAATCCATCTGGTGCACAATCCGCAAAATCAAAAATCGATTTAAACCGATTCCCGCCCTAAAGGACCAAAACAGCCATATCATCTCAGATAGAGACAAAGCCCTCGCCCTCACAAACTATCTGGCCGCCATTCACACATCCAAACCAAACACATCGGCCGATCAAAACAATATCTCCCAAAGAGTTCACAATTTCACCCAATCTCATCCCACCCCCCCGGCTGATCTACACCTAATTACCCCGGCCACAATTCGTTCCATCATCAAACGCCAAAAACCGTTCAAAGCCCCCGGACCCGATGGCATACAAAACATCCTCCTACAACACCTCCCTCGCAAAGCCATAGTTCAACTATGCTACATCGCGAGACACGTTCTCAAACTTCAGCATTTCCCCAACGCGTGGAAAACCGCCATTATCATCCCCATTCTGAAACCCAATAAAGACCCCTCTTCACCCTCTAGCTACAGNGTATGTGATGCTAATTTGTTCATAGCTTCATTTGTACCTATTAGATTAATTGACGAAGAAACTGGTAAGGTAGTGTGGCAAAATCCTGTTCCCTCTTCTGTGCGGTTCTGTCGACCAATTTCAATTGAGTTTTCTAAAGAGACTCCCGAGAAAACGAAATCCGTTGTGGATGGTATACAAAGTCAAATTGATAGTTTTGGTCCATCGGTAATTACAAAGCAAGGAAAAGCAATACAAATCAAACATGACATGTTTCTCACCATGATAGATGGAAAAGTTGCCCAAACAATAAAAGGTACACCTTCATGTTCCCCGTGCACTGTTTGCGGTGCTAATCCACGGCAAATGAATAATTTAGAAAAGGTGGCAGCACGACCAGAAAATGATAATGCATTTCGCTATGGATTATCAACGCTACATGCCTGGATACGTTGTATGGAGATGATTTTGCACATATCATATAATCTACCCTTCCGAAAGTGGTCAGCTACTACCGAAGAAAATAAACAATTAAAAAAAGATAAGAAAGCTTTGGTCCAGGCACGATTCGGCAAAGAGCTTGGTTTGATTATTGATAAGCCAAAGCAAATAAGTGATAATACAAACGATGGAAATACTGCTAGAAGATTTTTTTGTAATGCTTCTTCTTCGGCAGAAATTACCGGTGTCGACGAAATATTGATTAAGCGATTTTATATAATTCTTCAGGCGTTGACATCGGGTGTTATGGTAGATCCAGATAAATTTGGAGAATATGCGACGGAAACGGCAAAAATATACATTAAAAATTATGACTGGTATTACATGCCATCTTCAGTACATAAAATATTAATTCATGGTGAACGTATCATACGACATTTTGCAATTTTACCTATTGGACAGCTATCAGAAGATGCACAGGAATCTCGAAATAAAGATTACAAAAAATTTAGACTACATCACGCACGAAAATGTTCTAGATATGCTACAAACGAAGATGTATTTCATACACTCCTTTATACATCAGATCCATACATAACAAATATTAGAAAGCAGTGCATTAAAAATGTAAAGAAACTTGATGAAGAAACCCTAGCTCTTTTAACACAGCATCACCTGGTTTCTGAAAATTAAATTGAATAAGTTGAACAGCGTCAGGCAATGATGGAATAGTGGAAGAGTTAAACGTTATTATATGTATATTGTACATTGTATTATAATATTTATATCTCAGATAGACTGTTAGGGTTTTGTTCAAAAATAATATTACTCTGCAATATCAGTAATATTCATAAAAAAATAACAAAATATACATATAATTGTGTATACCTATAATTATGTACATATAAAATTGTTTAACATATTTTAATCCTGTTTTTAGGAGGTGACATTAAATGAAAAATATAAAAAGATACATTCTATCAACCAATAATGCAGTTTTTGTATATTTTTTTCTTAAATTGCATAATAATAATAAAACTACAGTGCTCTACACTCGACTTTCTCACATTTTTATACGACTGAAAAATAAATGTTTGGAAAAATACTTTTAAAAAAGGCACTAAATTCAAAATAATTGTAGAATTTACTTTATTTTAACTCCTATATGTAAAATTGCATGTGGAGGTGATTTGTTAAGTAAAATACTACTTTCGGTTTCATGATTTCAATGTAATTTTTTATCTATACATTTTTCATATAAAGGCTTATACAAAATTTTAATATTTTTTTTTACTTAGTACCAGTTTATATGAAACAAATGGGTACAGGTTCAGGTAAAGTACTACTTCCGGTTATGTGAGGTGGTAGGAATTTTGTATCTGAAAGTTACTCATTCTTATTCAGATTTATACAATATTTTATCTGATAATCTCTATTTAAAGTGCAAGTTATATGAAAATTTATATGAAGCAGTTTCTAAATCTATTAAAGTAAACTGCTACTTCGTAATTTGTCGCAAAAGTTGGTAGAGATCAACTGTCTTAATTTAATAGCCGTATACCAAATTTCATCGAAGTAGATGATTGGGTCTTTGAGTTATCATGTTTACAAACGCACGTGTATAGTACATACTGTATACTAACACATATACAAATGTAATGCTAAAATGGTCAAAATAGATTCTAGGACCATCAAATGTAAAGATTTATCAAAACCTCGAAGCGGATTTTTCGTGATTACAATAGTTTGTCTTATAGTTCGTACATACGAGGAAATAAAAATAATAATAAATAATAAAAAATAATAAAATAATAATAAAAAGAAAATTGGTACTCTTACTTCCTGTAATGTAGAATATTCGTACAAAGTTTGAAAGGTTTACCTTTAAAAACAAAAAAGTTATTGATTTTTGATCAGCAAACGGACTAAATTTTCCATAGTGCGGCGGTGTTGCTGTTTTAATCAAAAATACCATCCCGCACCAAGTAATCCCCCAACCCAATCACGGCCATCTAGACCTTATTACCATAAAACTAGACAGCAACCTCTTCGTCACCGCTCTCTATAGTCGCCCCAACGGCCCCCTCACAACCACCGATTTAAACCATCTAATCGGCTCCTACAACAAAACCCTTCTATTCGGCGACCTCAACGCCTGCCACCCTTACAGGGGGATGTAATAGAATAAACAAAAAAGAGCGAACTATATACAATTACACCCAGGCCCACAACGCGTTCGTCCTCGCCCCTAGAGCGCCCACACATTTCCCCCCAAACGGCTCAACGCCAACAACCATCGACATCGCCTTGATTAAAAACGTCACCGACATATCCGACCCAGTCGCTTTAAACGATCCGTCATCCGACCACTCTCCGGTCATCATCAAAATCGGTTCAAACATCCCAAACGAACCACCATCCAAGTCCCCCGATTTCAAAAAAGCCGACTGGACGACGTTTAAAAACCACATAAACGCCCGTATCCACGTCACCCCCGACATTCAAACAACCCAAGACCTCGACGCGGCCATCGATCTCCTCACCAGCACGATCGTGGCCGCCAAAAACAAATCGATCCCCCTCACGCCTAAACCGAACGGCCTCATCCCCAAAACTCCACCGCATATTCTCGTCATAATCCAAAACAGAAACGCAAATAGACAGTATCAGCGAACCCGCGACCCAATCACACTGACCGAGCTCCGCAAATTAACCCTTATGTGCACACTCAACTTTTACCTCGTTGTTACACACCCGAGTACCGGGGTACCCACCACTAGTTTTTCTTAATTCTTGATTGCCTACTACAGTTCCATGAAAACAAATAGAAGCGCTACACAGGTAGCAAAAAAAATCATCAAAAATCAAATTCATCGCTGTGTGATAAACACTTGATTTTCAACATTTCTGTGACTTGTAATAATTATTCATCAGTGCAGGAATTATTCATCATGGAGGAAGGACTATCGAGATCTGATTTTGCAAAGTAAATTTTATTTCCTAATATAATTGTCTTTGCTTTTTCTTGCTTATATTATATTACATTTTTCAATTGAAAAACTCATTTTTATTGAATCTAGATTGAATCATGTTCAAAGAGATACGTTTTTGAAACGTTTACTTGGAGACGATGAAGAATCAGAGTTCGAAGACGATAGTGAAGATGAGGATTGGCTGCCGGGTGAACCCTAGCCGAAGAACCGCTATCAGATACGGAAAATGCTGACGAGGCGCCCGAAGGAGAAGGGGAGGGCGATGTTGAGTCCGACGAAAGCGAGAGTCAAGCGGCAGGTACGTCAGCAACAGACGAAGCAGGTACAGAAAATGATAATGCGTACATAGCGAAAGATAAAACCGTTTGGAGTAAGACGCCGCCTCAAGTACGTCAAACTCCTTCTCACAATGTTTTACGGCAAAGAAGTGGCCCACACAGATCTACAGAAAGTTTATCGGTACGAGATACTTTCAAAACAATTATTACAGTCGAAATGGTAGATCTTATTGTTTGCTATACTAACAACAAAGCTACCAAAGTGTATAATAATTATAACGGGAATAATCCAGATTCACAGCGGTTGTGGAAGCCAATAACTATACAAGAAATGTATGCGTTTATTGGGGTTTTGATTTCTTCTGGGGTTAATAATTCGAATGTTGACCATACGAGCGAAATGTGGAAAAGTACATCGTACCCTCTTTACCGCGCATCAATGGGTGTCAACAGATTCAGTTCCATAATGCGGTTCATTCGATTCGACAACGTCGATAGACGCGTGGCACAACCAGGAGAGGATAAAGCTGCTCCTATACGTGACATATGGACAATGTTCAATTCGAATTTGAGTAAAATGTACAAACCGTCAGCAAATTTGACAATTGATGAGCAGCTTTATCCTTACCGAGGCCATACGAAGTTCACGCAATATATACCCTCCAAGCCAGCTAAGTACGGGATCAAAATTTGGTGGATTTGCGATGCCGAGAATGCATACCCTCTAAATGGGATTATTTATTCAGGAAAAACTGGAAATGTTCGTGAAAAAAATCAAGGAGAGAGAGTTGTAAAGGAACTTGCAGTACCATTCAGAGGAAGTGGCAGAAATATTACTATGGATAATTATTTTACTACGTTACCACTTGCAAAACATTTACTGTCATGGAAATTAACTATTGTTGGTACGTTGAAAAAAAATAAACCTTACATCCCAAAACAAATGGCTCCTCATAAATCTAGAGAAGAATACTCTACTCTCTTTGGTTTTCACGAACATGTTACACTTTGTTCGTACGTGCCAAAGAAGAATAAAGCCGTAATTTTACTATCGACAATGCACTCTGATGCTGCTGTGAATGATGATGGAAAGAAAAAGCCTCACATGATCACTTATTATAATAAATATAAAACTGGTGTAGATACAATGGATCAAATGGTAACTCGATACACTACGCGCAGGCGCACTCAGAGATGGCCTCTTGCTATGTTCTTCAATATATTAGACGTAGGCGCTCTTGCTTCATATGTAATTTATTATGAGAATAACAAAATGATACAAAGGAAGACTAATCAGCGACATACTTTCTTGCGTCAACTGAGCGAAGAACTAGCGAAACCTTTCATTGAGGATCGTTCTAAGAATGCCCAAATAATGCGCAACTACAATACGAAAATTGCGATTGAAAGCGTGTTTGGATTACAGCTTGATCCTTCCACTGTTCCTGAAAGACAAGCTCAACCTCGAGATAGTACTGGCAAGAAAAAAATTACAGGTTCTTGTCATATTTGCTATAAAGGAACAATCAAAAGACGCAGGAAAACGCGAAAATCTTGTTCGGTTTGCGAGAGACCTGTCTGCGATGAGCACTCTTTGTCGATAATCAAATGTATCGATTGCGCTGAATAAATGTAAATATACTCTAATCTACAGTGAAAATTATTGTAATTATTTATTTATTAACCCCTGTTACCTCAATGAAATGTTCATCAATGATATTAATTGATTCCCTAGTCGAAATGTTATTTTTCATCTAGTGGCTACCCGGGTACCCGGGTGTGTCCGCTAAGGACATGTACTTCAACGTCATTTAGTTTTACCCCAAAAAAATTGAAAAAGAAATGCGAGTGTGTTTTTAGCGTCAAAAGAAGTTAAATAATGGGGATTTTCAGGCCCAAACCGATATTTCAATTTTTCTCCGAGTTATAAGTAAGAATATGACGAGGTGGGTACCCGGGTGTGCACATAAGGGTTAAATAAATCAATTCAGTCCGAACTCAAAAAACACAAGAACCAAACGTGGTCCAAAAAACTCCAATCCCTAAACCCAGATGACAAATCCATCTGGTGCGCAATCCGCAAAATCAAAAATCGATTTAAACCGATCCCCGCCCTAAAGGACCAAAACAGCCACATCATTTCAGATAGAGACAAAGCCCTCGCCCTCACAAACTATCTGGCCGCCATTCACACAGCCAAACCTAACACATCGGCCGAACAAAACAATATCTCCCAAAGAGTTCACAATTTCACTCAATCGCATCCCACCCCCCCGGCTGATCTACACCTAATTACCCCGGCCACAATTCGTTCAATCATCAAACGCCAAAAACCGTTCAAAGCCCCCGGCCCCGATGGCATACAAAATATCCTCCTACAACACCTCCCTCGCAAAGTCATAGTTCAACTATGCTACATCGCAAGACACGTTCTCAAACTTCAGCATTTCCCCAACTCGTGGAAAACCGCCATTATCATCCCCATTCTGAAACCCAATAAAGACCCCTCTTCACCCTCTAGCTACAGGCCGATATCGCTACTCCCAGCGATATCCAAAATAGTAGAAAGAGTAATTCTAGAGCGTCTAAACGAACATTCCTTCCTAACAGACGTCATCCCCAACCACCAATTCGGCTTCCGCCCGCAACACTCCACCTCACACCAAGTTGCCCGTATAGTCACTGACACAATAGCGAAAGCAAACGACAGAGCCCACACCGCCCTCGTTTCTCTCGACCTCGAAAAAGCCTTTGATACCGTTTGGTCCGAAGGCCTCATCCACAAAATGATCACCAACAACTACCCAGACTATCTAACCAAACTCATCCACAGTTACCTCACCAATAGAATGATTCAAGCGAAAGTCAATACCACAACCTCTAAACCCAAAAAGATAGACTCCGGGGTCCCCCAAGGCTCAGTGCTCTCCCCACTTCTATTCAACATATTCACAAGCGATATCCCGCAGATTCCGCAGACAAAAATCGCCACGTACGCTGACGACACAGCCATTTACGCCCATTCCAGAGACCCCAAAATAGCCGCCGTGTAATAGAATCAACCTTACAGCCAGAGCATTCCCTACATTAAACTTACCAATTAATATTTTAATAACATCGAGTCAAGAGGACTTTACTTGCAATATTGCGTCAGTTGAAGCACCTATTGAAGGTAAAGACTTCAATTTTTTTGTAAGAATTATAAAAGGATATGATTGGAAAATTTAAAAGATGAGCCATATTGATATGACCTTTTTTTTTAAAAATATTCAAAGATTAAGACTCTTAAGTATTAGCATACAATTATGAAACACCTGTGTATCTACTCTTCTGTGATGAGAGTTTTACAGATTTTTTGAATAACTAAAGTATATTACTGACTGCAATGACAGCATATGGTATTTTTAAAATTATCTACCAAAACTTTTTTGTTAATTTTTCAGTAGTTCATCCAACAACTTCTGCTAAGGATGCCCTGCACAAAGTTAGAAATTTTAAAGTACCAATTACCTTTGCACTAGGTAAAGTGGGAGATTTTTTGTTTTAAATTAAAAAATGTTACTTAATTACTTAAGAAGAAGAAAACAAATTTTATTCTGTACCCACTACATAAAAAAAAAATAAGAATAACAATAAAATCAGGGTCTTTCTGTCCGTGATTTTTGTAGGCGGCGGCTTGTTTCAGTCTTCTCTGACGGCCAGGAGTTTTTGGAAGAGAAGAGGTGGATTGTTGCGAGGGTGGAGTAATCGAGGTGATATAAGTGTGTGTTGCAAGGCGTTGGTAGGAAAATTTATAATGGATTTATCGGACAAAGATTGAAGGCGGGTATGGATAATTACTTAATTTTTACTTATTACTCAATGTATTTTTTGTATGGATACATTATTGTAGTATAAGGAAGAAACAAAAGATGGCGTGAGTAGTGACATATTGAAGGTTAGGTTAAGTAGGTTAAGAATCCCGCCAAATCGATACTACAATTATTATTAATATTTATTGGTAAGAAGTATTTACTTTTATTCCAGATTTGAGAAAAAAAGAATTATTACTTGCTCAGGTTAATGTTAATAAAATATTCCGATTGCCATCAAAAGAAAAGAAAAGTATAGAGTAGCAAAGAGACTTTTGGTAATTGCTCGTAAACTTGATAAAGAAAATGTGCAAGAAACGTTTGTTGGTGACGCAAAAATTACTTTGCTCTAATGGTTTTATAAAAGATTTGGTCAATACTCTGACTTTCAATTTTATGAAATTGTAATTGGCAATGCAGAAGAAAAAAGCAGAGGCCGTCGGTTTGGGATAAGCGATAAAATATTCGCATTGTTCTTGCGTAAACAAACTTGTCGGGATTACCGTTTTCTACAAAAAATATTAGCACTGCCTTTCAGGAAGACATTAATATGTTTTTTAAATAAAGTGCCTTTCAATACAGGAATCAATTCCCGAATTTTGGAAACTCTTAAAATAGCGGTGGATAAGATGAAACCACAAGATCGCGTTTGTTGCCTGTTATTTGACGAAATATCATTGGATGTTGCTTTAACATATAAAAAGGCTACTGATGAAATTGAAGGGTTCGTCAACTGTGAAAATGACAAAAAAAAGTTTGCTGGTCATGGCATGGTTTTCATGACGCGAGGAATCCATAAGAAGCAGAAACAGCCTGTCGCTTATTATTTTAAGGAAAATGGGATGTCAGCTGCAGATCTTGTTCCCAATATAAATATTATAATTAGGTCGTTACGTGAAATTGGCTTAAAAGTTATTGCAACAGTTTGCGATCAGTTATTATCAATTAATTGTATGTCCATAAAATTAATGCAAGAGGAGACTAAAAGAACTTGGTTGCAACAGCTGGATGAGAACAAATTACTGGGCTTATGCATCGATGATACTGAAATTATTCCACTCTTCGACACCGCATTTATTAAAAGAATTGAGGAACAATTTTTTAAACAACAAAATTATGTTCTCATGGAAAAATGAGTTACAGACAGCTTCCTGGAACGATGTAGTCTCTCTTTATGAATTGGATGTAGGTGACTACGATACAAAAATGTTAAACAAGTTAACAGATGCGCATATACAGGATGCTCCGTGACTCGACCGACAAACTTATACCATATCGACCAATCCAGCGAAAACTGTCGTAAGTCAAAAAATGGTGATTTTGAGTTAATATGCGGTACCAGTATGTTTCTTCAAGCTCTATTTGGTAAAAAATTATAGTAACTACGTAACAAAAGCGCAGCCAAGTAACTACATATTTTATTAATATAGCAACTCCTATGGTCCAGGTCCAGCCCAGCGAAAACTATATTAAGTTGAGTTACTATGGTTTTCGCCGAACAAAATTTATTTATTTGTTTTACGTCATTTTAAAACGCAAAACTGATCTGAATTAAAGTTAAAACATTTACCCATAATAAATAGCCACATAGGTTTATACGACATACAAAATGTCAGAGGAGTTAAGTGACCGGTTTGTACCTGTGGAATCAACAAGTAAATTTTCAGGTATGTATTATTTCTTTTTGCTTCTACTTTTACGTTAAGGTGCCTTGGTTAGGTCCATTGTCTGAGATAGGTTTTGAAATCTCTGTTCATGTTACGGAGAAACTATCAGATAATTCGGACCTTGACAGTAATTATGTCCCTAAAGACCCATCAGACTCTGATTCGTCTAATTTGTCGAGTAAAGTCGAATCTGTAAGGGAGGAGAAACAACGTTGTAGAAAGCGTAAAGCAAGTTATAAAGAAAAAATAGCCAGAAAGCGTGCGAAAAACAGAATGCAATGGATCGATGTACAAGCTAAAAGAAAGCGGAACTTGGGGCTAAAGCACAAAAATCGTAAAGGTAACGTTATTCCAGCAAAGGAAATGAAGAATCCATGTAAAGAGGGCTGCAGGAATAAATGTCGCGAAAAAATAAGTGAACAAAGCAGAAAAGAAGTGTTTGAAGAATTTTGGAAAATAGGTGACCATACGAGACAGTGGGATTATATAGCCAGATGTGTTAAAGCCATAGACAAAAAACAGATTAAAAAAAAGGGGGAATCAAGGCGGAATTTTTCTCGAAAATACAATATTCTTAAAAATAATGAAATAGTAGTTTGCAAAACTATGTTCCTTACTATACTTTTGGAATATCAGAACAATGGGTTACAATAGCTTTAGATAAAATATTAAAAACAGGATTTGTAGAAGAAAATAAACGAGGAAAGCATACTACAAGAGTGAATAAAATTAACAATGAGATACTCAACAGTATTAAACAACATATTGAACTTTTTCCCGTAATTCCTTCTCATTACACCAGAAAAACTTGTACAAAAATGTATTTGGAGGAAGGGCTTAACATATCAATAATGCATAGACTGTACTTGGAATATATGCAACGGAATAATTTTACGCAGACTGCTACTCTTAGACAATACAGAGATATCTTTAATACACAATATAATATTGGATTTTTTAAACCTAAAAGGATCAATGCAACATTTGTGCAGTCTATGCAGCAGCGACTCCAGAAGATAAATCAAAAATGCAAGAAAAATATGAGAAACACAAAGCTGATAAGAAAGCCGCTAGATCCTTAAAAGATTTGGATAAAGAAGCAGCAAAAAATGATAAATCCGTATGTGCTTCTTGTTTTGACTTACAAAAAGTTTTAGTGACACCTCAATCTGCAGTGAGCCAATTTTATTACTAAAGTAAACTAGCTATGTACAATTTTACGATTTATGACATGGGAAATAATGAAGGATACTGCTACGTTTGGAATGAAATAATTGCGAAGGAGGGACCCAACGAAATAAGTAGTGCGATTCTACATTTCTTAAAAACGCAAAAAGATAAAGGAGTGACGAAAGTTATTCTGTATTCCGATAACTGCGGAGGTCAAAACCG